TCTGTGTGGCCACTGCAGTGAATTATCGAACCCAGGAGAGAGGTGGTGGGTGCTTTGGGAGGAACGGTTGGTGAAAGGGCTGGAGGGAGGCAGCATGTTTGGCCTTGCAGTAATAGGCCTTGGATTACTGCTGTCTTCCTCTTGTGAGATTAGAGGAGGTCAGAACATGTGGCCTCCTTGCCGTTTTTGCAGGACATAAGAATAACTTAACCAATTCCTTAATGCTGACATTTGACTACTTTATACAAACATCTGTTCACACAATTCTGATTATTTCCTTTCCTAGGTATGTAGACCTGGAATGGCAGAATCAAAGGATAAATGTGCTTTAAAGATGACTGATTATTAAACTTCATGAAGGTTAAACCAATTTATATCAATTTAGAAATTAATGAAAATATCCATCATCCTCACCAAACCTGGACATTTTCATTCCTCATCTTGTTAAAGCAATAGATAAAGAAAATGATAACATTTTTTTTTTTTATTTTGACCAGTGAGGTTGAGAAAATTTTTTATCAACTTAGCCATCTGAATTTCTTATGTATTCCTTATATTTATCTATATTTCTAAGAAAAGCATATATTTAAAAAAAAAAAATTTGTAATCCATCTAATTTCTTAAGAGAAATTTTTATAATGCTATACACATTTTTAAAATCTAAAATTAAATTTTGAGCAAATACATATCCAGTGTACAAAAATAAAGGTATATAACAAAAAGTAGGTTCAAAACAACTTCTGTTATAAACTTAAGCTTTACATATTTGACAACCATAAAGTTAAAAATAAAAACATAGGGTGATTCATAATTTCCTTTTCTCATGTAATATAACCTATAGAGTTGTTTTAACAGAAAGACACTGGTATTAGAGTTATGGTTGCAAGTAGATTCCTGTAACTTCACTTTCATCTAACTGCTCAGTATCTAAAGTCTTCTTGGTTAACAGTTTTAAAATTAGTCTACCTCAAAGTACAAGAACTATATTCACTGATTCTAAAATCTACTGCCATCAAATCAATTGTGACTCATAAAGTACAACTGTAAATCTTTACAGAAACTGACTGCCCCATCTTTCTCCCACAGAGTGGCTGGTGGGTTTGAACCATCAACCTTTTGGTTAGCAGCTGAATGATTTAACCAGTGCACCACCAGAACTCCTGACTGATTCTAAGAAGCACTTTTTATTTTAACGTCTCTAAAATTAAGATGCATAAAATAATAGTGCTTCTTCACAATGATAGTGTCTTAGATTTCATGAAATGCCTTAGCTTACATAATCATATTCAAGATACAAGGTACATTTTGGTTAATTTATGAAATTTTATATCCACTGAAGAGACCTCTTTTTATAGAGATATTAAAGTGAATACTTGATTATAAGATTCCTATGATAGGAGCGTGGCGTAGTGCCTTAGACATCTGACTGCTAACCAAAAGGTTGGAGGTTCAAACTCACCAGTCACTCCTCAGAAGGCAGATTGGGCAATCTACTTCCGTAGTAATACTGCCTCGGAAACCCAAGGAGGGGTCACTATGAGTTGGATCCAACCCGAGGGCAATGAGTTTGGTTTTTGG